TATACATGTGTTGACATTACAGAAAAGTCCTGATTATACATTTTTTATGTCCTCATCTCCAAATGTTTACTTAACCAATCGACCTTTCCCCATCAACATCACAAATAAGAACAAAGAAAAAAATTTCAGAAAGGTAAATCTTTTGTGAAAATATGAGGTGATAAAATAAGCACTGCCCATCTAGTTGAAAGATCTAATCCTTGATCCACTATATCTGAATGATCTAATGCCTGAAAAGAGCTTTAAACTCATTACAGAAGTTATAGTCATTCAAGTTACAGTATTTAGGAAACAATTATAGATACTAAATTGCACAGACACACTGAAAAAAAGAGAATATATTATTTCTGTTTCAAACAGACCCTGTTAGTTTTAAGGCAGTCAAATAATCTAATTGATAACTGTGGTACTACTATTTTTTTAAAAGGTACTCAGTAAGAGTCAAACATTTCGTATTTGTTTACCCACTGCTCTCCATGAAAACAATATACGCTGAGAAAATTGTAAGCTTCAATTTTTTTCAGTTTCAATTTCTAAATTTGTAAGCAAGCATATTATATACTTTAAAACAGGACAACACATGGGACTTCCCTGGCAGTCCAGTGGTTAGGACTCCAAGCTGCCAATGCAGGGGGCATGGGTTCAATACCTGGTGGGGGAACTAAGATCCCACATTCCACCCCCCGCCCCCTCGTGGCCAAAAAATAAAACAAAATAAAATAAAATAAATAAAAAATGTAAAAAAACAGGACAACACAGTTGCTGAACTTAGGCCTGTAATCAAACCGGTTAAGTTCAAATCCTTGCTCTACCAAATACTACTACTACCTGGGTATCTGTCTATGCCTCTGTTTCCTCCTCTACGAATTAGGAATAAAAACACTAGGTTTTCACGAGGATTAAATTACTTAATACATGTTAAAAATTAGTCTGGACATGTGTTGATAATTATAGAATGTAAATGATAGGTACAAAGAGGTTCAATATACTATTATCACTCATAAATTCAAAGTTTTCATAGTTAACTTTTTTTAAAAAGCTTAGCTTACTATTGTGCTGGCATACAATAAGGGCTCAATACATGCTATTTTTATTACCCTGCAGGCTATTTGCCAAGAGTAAAGGAAATAATACATGAAAGTGCCCGGCACCTGCCTCAATTAGTGTTTGTTTCATACGAGTTGTCATCCTCACATCATACTTCACAATCAGTATGTTCATCGTCAATTAGTTTGTGGCCCATTTGGGACTTAATATTGAAGCATGAGCTACTATACTCATGACCCACCTCTGACAGAGATCTGCAAGTTACAATACCAACTGTCAGGAGGCTCCAGAGATACAATTTTCTAGAATGCTAAAATTCACTGATATTTTGTAACTAATTTCAATTGATGGAAAATGACTCGTTATGTTTACCTTAGTGTCTCGCACATCCCAAGACTACCTTAAAACCAACAAACTGCAAGCAATAAACGATAACCCTCAGATAACACGTTCAAGAACAACTCGAGTGAAGACTAAGCATCACAAAATATGGGGGACTAAGAGTAACTAGAGCAGCGGACTGGTCTCACCAGCACACTAGCTGGTAAACTAAGAGAACTGGAGGAGTGGACCTCATGCCCTTTCCTAAGCAAACACATCAAAGACATCTACCAATTCATGAACCCCAAGAGTCAAAATTTGTGTTTTACGTCGTACACACAGAGTTAAATCCGTCTTTCTGTTCCTCCAACCCCTTCGATCAATTCTCCATTTAAAGGAAGAGAAAGTGTTAAAGATGGTTGCACACCGAGCATCAGAAACGCAACAACTTCACTTCCCGCCCTGGAACTCTAGAGGGCGCCAGCAATATGCCCTCCTTCCCCCACCCCTCCTCCCGGGTAACGTGAGCAGCTGCAGGAGCCCGTCGTCTGGTTGCTGAGGTTGGTATTGCAGCAGGAGAGATGTCTGCAGCGGTGCAAACAGCAGCGCCCACTCCCAGCTGCCTCACCAGCCATTACCCAGGCTGCGCCCCGGGGGCAGCTGCCACCCAGGGAAAAGCTCCTCCCCCTCAAAACAACGGAGACGCTCCGGCCCGACAACCTGACAACGTCCTCTAAGAGCCTCAAACGAGGGGCAAAAGACTCACAATGGGGGTGTTTTCCTCCTCACGTTCTGCCAGGGATGCACCAGGTAGAGATGAAGGCAACTCCTGGTCCTGGGTAAGAGGAAAAATGAAAAATGGGTCAAGAACACCTAACCAGGTGGGAGAACCAAGCCCTTTCCACCAGGAGGAGACAGAGAAGGGAATAAGAGGTCAAGGAGGTTCGGACCTTCGATTATTGCTGCCCAGCCCGTGACCAACAACCCCCTCCTACGTAAAGTAGAGACAAACGACGTAAAATTTTTATTTGGGACCAAAACCCACGTGAAAGGCAAACCCTGGAGGGAGGAGGCGGAGGGCAGCAGGCCTGCTCCGGGAGGGGGAGGGGGAAGGGCGAGCGCAGCCTCGACGCCAGCGGGGAATCCTATCCCCCGAATCGGCCCACCCAGCGCCGTCCCCATCGCGCCCGCATCCACTCAGGGGCGGGGGGCGGCTCGCGTCAGCGCGGGGCGGAAACCCCCCGCATTTACCCCGAGCTCTTGCCCCGGGCCTGAGACTTGCCCCCCCGCAGTCGGCGACCGGCAGCGCTGCCTCCCCGTCCGCCATTAGAGACCCGGCCAAACAATACGTGCGGATCCGAGCCGCGCGCGCGCCGGGCCCGGGGCGGCAGAGAAGGGGACCGGCGCGGGGGGCCCGAGCCCTTGCCGGCAAACTTGGGGACCTCACGCCGCCGCCGAGAGGGTGCGAGGACGGCCCCGAGCACCCACGGAGGCGCCCCTCCCCCACCCCGCCCCACCCCCACCCCACCCCCGCGACCCCCGCCACCGGCCCCCGCCCCGGGCGGCCCCGAGCGACCCCCGCCGCCGGCGGCCGCCTCACCCGGCCCTCGCGGCCGCGCCCGCACTCCCGCAGCCCGCGGGCCGCCCGCCAAGGCGCCTGGGACATCAGCGGAGCCGCCGGCAGCCCGAGGCCCCGACGCGCTAGCGGCGACGGCGGCCGCGCCGCGGGGCGCTTGTCCCGGGTCGGTGGGAGGCTCCGGAGGCCGCCCTCACCCATCTCCGCCTCCCGGCGCCTCCGCCTCCGCCTCCGCCTCCGGAGGCTGCGCCGCTCCCGGCCACCCCCACTGTCGGCGGCCCTGGGCTGGAGACTCGGCGGGGACAAGCCTCACCCGGTTCTGGCTGCGGCTCCGCGGAACGAACCTCCCCGCCCCCCCCCCCCCCCCCCCCCCCGCCCCCCGCGCAACCCCCCCCCCCCCCCCCCCCCCCCCCCCCCCTTCGGCAACACGCGCAACTCCGCTCGGTCCAGTCCCGGCTTTAGCGCTGGTGAGTAGGCGGAGGCTGCGGCCGCGGCGGCGCGGCCCGGCCCGGCAAGCCCCGCCCCCGATGCCCTCACTGGCGGCCGGGGAGGGCGGGCCAGGGGCCTCGAGCACGCCCATTGGCTGCGTCCGCCTTCCTTCAGGACCCCCCTCGAGGGGGTGGTCCGACGTCCTGTCCTTCAGGCGTAGGCCACACCCCCGCACCTCCATTTCCCCCCCCTTCCCCGCCCCCACTTCGGCCCGGCCCGTCAGGGTCGGGCCGCTGAGTGCTGTGCCCGCCGCACCCGCCTCGGCTCGGCCCCTGGGGGCAGAGAGCTATCGGGGCCGGGCGGCCCGAGGGCCTAAGCCGGGCCGCCTGACCCTGCAGCGGCCGCGAGCGACGCCGCCCGAGGAGCGCCACGGCCTCGATGTCCCCCACGCCCTCCCTGTCCAGTGTCTGGGAGCCCCGTGAGGGCCGAGCGGGCAGGGGCTACGGCGACGCGGGCGGGAGCCGGGGACCGGGAGGCCGGCGGCAGGGGGGCCCGCGCGCTCCGAAGGCTGGAAGCGCTTCCCCTCGCCTCAGCCCCGTGGGGAGGCGTCCCTCGCTCCCGTCATGGCTGCGGGAGGAGACTACGTCCTCCATCTTGTCGGGGCCGCGGGGGGAACTGGGGGCAACTCCGACTCGTCCCGGGAAGCCCGGGCTGGGCCCCGCCGCCCGGCCGCCGGGACGGCGCCCGTTGCCGGCTCCGCACCTGGCCCCGGCCGGCGCGACGGGCCCGGGCCGGACGCCGCTCCCGCCTCCGCTGGCCAAGATGGAGGCGGCTACGGGTCCCCGAGCCGGGCGCCCGCCTGTCGGAAGGGCTGGGCCGCCCCCGGCGGGGCCGCCGCGTCCCAGCCCCTGGGCCTCTGCCCTCGTTGGCCTCGAGGCGGACGGGCCGTCCCCGTGGCGGGAGGGAACGCAGGTGCCGGCCGGGCTGGGCCCGGTCGGGCCGGGCGAGTTGCGACCAAGGAGCCACCTGGGCGGCAGGACTCGGCTTTTGTTCGCCGTCTACACCTATGTCCCGGGCGCACGTCACGGGCTGTGCGGGTCCCGAGGTTCCACGTAGGAGGCGAGCGGGGAGGCCGCCCTGGCGGCCGTCGGTGGGACTGCAGCCGACGATGTTGGGGAGTAAATGGATGGATAAAGTGGACCCAGATTTCAGGATTGCCTACTCGTAAATAGACGGGTGTTGTTACACTTTAAAGTTCAACACGATGGTGAACAGCATGAACTTTTTTTTTTTACATCTTTATTGTATAATGCTTAACACTGGTGTGTTGGTTTCTGCTGTATAACAAAGTGAATCAGCTATATGCATACATTTATCCCCATAACCCCTCCCTCTTGCGTCTCCCACCCTCCTTATCCCACCCCTCTAGGTGGTCGCAAAGCACCGAGCTGATCTCCCTGTGCTATGCAGCAGCTTCCCACCACAATGTTCCATCGCAGCACTCTTTACAATTGCCAGGACATAGAAGCAACCTAAGTGTCCGTCGACAGATGAATGGTTAAAGAAGATGTGGCACATATATGCAATGGACTATTACTCAGCCATAAAAAGAAACGAAATTGAGCTATTTGTAGCAAGGTGGATGGACCTAGAGCCTGTCATACAGAGTGAAGTAAGTCAACGTGAACTTTTTAATGAAGTTATCCATGAAGTTCTCAGTAAAGACTGACTTTATAGAGATGCCACTTAGCATAGTCTAGTAGAAAGTGAGATTCATTATGAATAAAACAATCAAGTAGTCCTCACACCTATGGCTAAATGCAATAAATATACTGCTCTTTATTTAAATTGGAGGATGTCCAATATGTATTTAAAACCACTTTCTCAAAATGGCATCGTTTATTTTTCTGCATTTTATTTCTTAATTATAAATTTTTTCAATTTTTGATAAAACAAGATATCCTTGTAAGACTCTGTGTATTACACAGTACTGTTCTACATTGACATTCTCGATGTCAGTATCTTCACAACAGAAATGTCCCCTGTTACCAAATGCAGGGCAACACTGTAATCACTCCGTGAAAACTTACAGTACCATCCCTTTTCTGTCACCATGTACTGTTGCAGTAACTTCTCTTCATTGAATTTATAGTTAGTTAGAAGGCTTAAGTAGAGGTACTTCCAAATAAGCTCTGTCATAGACTTCAGTGATAGATTGGATTGCTGCGTGCTGTTCAATTTAAGGAAGCTCTATACTGCTACTAATTATGAAATTATTGATGTTTTATAATTAATTAACAAGACTAATAATTACTGTAGTATATATTAGTCACATTTTGTATTCATTCAAATCCATTTGTGCATGAAAATGTTCACTGGGTTACCTACATGATATCAGGGAGAATTTTAGCTGAGAGTTGAAAGCTGGGGAAAAAAAAAGTTTTGTGTCATAATTTAAAGAAAAACTACACTTAATTATATAGAAAAGTACTTATAAAAATAATTATTTGAATGTTCACAACAGAACTATTCATAATTTCCAAAAGGTAGAAACAACCCAAATGTCCATTAACTGATGAATGCATAAACAAAATCTGGTAGATCCATACAATGGAATATTATTCAGCAATAACAAGGCATGAAGTTCTGACACAGGCTGCCACATGGGTGAACCTTGAAGACATGATGCTAAAGGAAGTAAGCCAGACACAAAACACCATACATTGTATGATTCCATTTGTGTGAATTATCCAGGTGAGGCAAATTTATAGAAATAGGAAGTAGAATATTAGTTCCCTAGGCCTAGGGAGGTGAGGAGTTATAGCTAAAGTGTATGGAGTGTCTTTTTGGAGCAAATTGATTGTAATGATGATTGGACAACTCTGAATATATTAAAAACTATGGAATTGTTCACTTTAAGTGGATGAATTGTATGGTACGGAATTATAACTTGATAAGTCTGTTACTAAAATTGTGTGTGTGTATGTGTGTGTGTGGAGTTATTCTGTACTAATCACAAAAGCATACTAAGCTTTGCAGGAAGGCAACATGAAGTCTTGAGCAGAGGACTTGCATTTCAAATACTTGTTTGGCCACTCAAACCCTTGAGCAAGTTATCTTCTAAGGCTCAGTTTAGCCATTTATAATATATAGTAATGCAGTGTTGTAAGGACCAAATAACTCCTAGGAAAGCAATATACAAATATTAGAAGTTGCTAAGAGAGTAGATCTTAAAAGTTCTCATCACAGGACTTCCCTGGTGGTCCAGTGGCTAAGACTCCATGATCCCAAGGCAGGGGGCCCAGGTTCGATCCCTGGTCAGGGAACTAGGTCCCACGTGCCACAACTAAGAACTCGCATGCCATAACGAAAGGTCCCGCATGCCACAGTGAAGACCCGGAGCAGCCAAATTAATAAATAAATTTTTTTTTTTAATTAAAAAATTCCTCATCAGAAGAAAAAAAATTGTAACTGTGTGGTCATAATGTTAGCTAGAGTTACTTTGGTGATCATCACAATGTATACATATATCAAGTCATTATGTTTTACACTTGAAATTAATATAATATTATATGTCAATTATACCTCAATACAAATAAGTGTTAGGTACAATTGTATTTTTGGAAACCAGGAGCTCACCAGTAATTGAGATGCAATATAACAGCTTAGGAGGCAGGCTGCCCTAGCTTGAACTTGCTTTACCCACAACGAGCTGGGTGATTTTAGGCATATGTTAATTTTTTTTAAATAAATTTATTTATTTATTTGGCTGCATTGGGTCTTTGTTGCTGCACGCGGACTTTCTCTAGTTACGGCGAGTGGAGGCTACTCTTCGTTGTGGCGCACGGGCTTCTCATTGCTGTGGCTTCTCATTGTGGAGCATGGGCTCTAGGTGAACGGGCTCAGTAGTTGTGGCTTGTGGGCTCTAGAGCACAGGCTCAGTAGTTGTGGCGCACGGTCTTAGTTGCTCCATGGCGTGTGGGATCCTCCCAGACCAAGGCTCGAACCCATGTCCCCTGCATTGGCAGGTGGATTCTTAACCACTGTGCCACCAGGGAAGCCCTGGCATATGTTAATTTTTTGAAGAACCTCTATGCTGTTTTCCACAGTGACTGCACCAGTTTACATTCCCACCAACAGTGTACAAGTGTTCCCTTTTCTCCACGTGATTGGTAGCCATTCTGGCAGGTGTGAAGTGATATCACATTGTGATGTTGATTTGCATTTCTCTAGTGATTAGCAATGTTAAGCATCTTTTTGTGTGCCTGTTGGCCCACTGTAAGTCTTCTTTGGAAAAATGTCTATTCAGATCTTCTGCCCACTTTTTTTAAATTAATTTTTATTGGAGTACAGTTCATTCACAATGTTGCATCAGTTTCTGCTGTACAGCAAAGTGAATCAGTTATACATATTCATATATGCATTCTTTTTTAGATTCTTTTCCCATTTAGGTCATTACAGAGTGTTGAGTAGAGTTCCCAGTAGGTCCCTATTAGTTATCTATTTTCTATATAGTAGTGTGTATATGTCAATCCCAATCTCCCAACTTATCACTCCCCCACTTTTCTGCTCACTTTTTTTTTATCAGGTTGTTTTTTTTTTTTAATATTGAGCTGTATGAGCTGTCTATATATTTTGGATAATAACCCCTTATCAGTCATATCATATGCAAATATTTTCTCCCATTCAGTAGGTTTTTCATTTTGTTGATGGTTTCCTTTGCTGTGCAAAAGCTTTTGAGTTTAATTAGGTCCCATTGTATTTGCTTTTGTTTCCTTTGCCTTAGGAGACAGACTCAAAAGACTATTGCTACCATTTATGTCAAAGACTTTCCTGACCATGTTTTTTACAGGAGTTTTATGGTTTCTAGTCTTACAGTTAGGTCTTTAATCCATTTTGAGTTCATTTTTTTATATAGTGTGAGAAAATGTTTCAATTTCTTTTTTTTTTTTTTTTTTTTGCGATACGCGGGCCTCTCACTGTTGTGGCCCCTCCCATTGCGGAGCACAGGCTCCGGACGCACAGGCTCAGCAACCATGGCTCACGGGCCCAGCCATTCCGCGGCATGTGGGATCTTCCCGGACCGGGGCACGAACCCGTGTCCCCTGCATCAGCAGGTGGACTCTCAACCACTGCACCAACAGGGAAGCCCTCAATTTCATTCTTTTACATGTAACTGTCCAGTTTTCCCAGCAACAGTTATTGAACAGACTGTCTTTTCTCTATTGTTTATTCCTGTCTCTTTGTCATAGATTAATTGTTCATAAGTGTGTGGGTTTATTTCTGAGCTCTCTATTATGTTCCATTGATCTATGCATCTGTTTTTGTGCCAGCACTATACTGTTTTGATTACTGTAGCTTTGTAGTATAGTCTGAAGTAAGGACACATAATTCCTCCAGCTCTGTTCTTCTTTCTCAAGATTGTTTTGATTGTTTTCTTAACTTCTCTTCCTGATAGTTCGTTGTTAGTGTATAGAAATGCAACAGATTTCTATATATTAATTTTGTATCCTGCAACTTTACCAAATTCATTTGATGAGCTCTCCCAGTTTTCTGGTGGCATCTTTAGGATTTTCTATGTACAGTATCATGTCATCTGCAAACAGTGACAGTTTTACTTCTTCCTTTCCAATTTATATTCCTTTTATCTCTTTTTCTTGCCTGATTGCTGTGGCTAGGGGTTATGAAATTTTTTGATCATGACAATCACTAGGATATATATTATACATGGAGACATAGTGCAAACCCACCTTCATACATAATTACATATCTGAATCAAAAGTTTCATAGAATTGTTTCATTTATTATCTTAGATGGATTTTAATATTTTCTATTCTAATCTATTTAGATCTAGTCTATACTGTTTTTTGTTTTGTTTTTTGTTTATTTGTTTGTTTTTTAATGAACAGTGGTTCCAGCCCACCAAGTTGACTACATGGCTTACAAACTGTGGTTTGAAAAACATTATTCTAGAGAAAGCAAATCATGGATAAATTCAGATTCTAAAACAGAAGTGAAAACACAAGATGATACTGAACACTGAGAGTAGTCTGGAATGAACTATAGGTTGAAAAACTCATTTTTTAAAACATAGAGATTTAAGTTGCCATTCTTCCTAATATATGAAATACTTATTCCTTCCTAAAAAACTGCATTACATTTGATGAGGCTGAAGTGCAGCTGATGAGCAAGTCTCTGGACAAGCGTTGTAATGAGCTGGAAGAGAATGCAGAACGGACATTGATGTGACTGCACCATTCATCAGCTCTGTGACCCTGGACCTTCTGGAGCCTCAGTTTCTCCTTCAATAAAATAAGGGAATTGTGCATAATATGCTCTTGAAGTAAAGTCCACTTTTATCTTCACAGCCTTCTCATCCCTCAGGATCCCAGTGTCTCCTCCAGCCCCCCTCACTATCCTAACTTATTATGAAGGTTGCCTTCCTCTCAGTTCCTGTGGCTTTTTTATTATTAAATAATCCAATGTTTACCACTATATATGTGTGTGTATATATATATATATACATATATGTGTGTGTGTGTATATATATATATGTATGTATATATATATTTTTTTTTTTTTTTTTTTTTGGCCACACCATGCTGCTTGCAGGATCTTTGTTTCCCAACCAGAGATCGAACCTACACCCTCTGCATCGGATGCACGAAGTCTTAACCACTGGACTGCCAAGGAAGTCCCATACCACTATGTTCTTAACTATATTCTTCGCTCCACCTTACCTGTTTCACACTTGAGTACAAGGACCCACCAGGTTTCTCATTTTATCTCGCAGGCAGCATTGCCCACCCAAGTGCCTTCTGAGCTTTAGAGGTCCTGACTGCAACCAGAAGCAAATTTTTACAAAGAAAATTATATCTAGTGATTATGGAGGTTCTCTCCAGTAATTAAATTCTATGGTTTTTATAAAATCATAAGCTGAAAATAATGATTTAAAGCTTAATTTTTGCCCATTTAAGTGTTCCTTATATTATCAACTTTTTTTTTTTGAGTTTCTCTACTAGGTAGCTATTATTCTCTAAGAGATTAAAACCTAAAATTAAGCAAGTCTAACAGTTTTGAATTTAGCATACTGACTTTTTAAAATATTTTTCCTACTTCCATAGTTAATAAATTCACAGTCAGTGGCAAAAGCAAATCACAAACAATAACAACAACAAAACTTGGAAAACCTGTGCAAAAAGTGCAAAAGAAAAAGAAAATTACCTGTAATTCTTTACCCAAGGATGGCTATTGGTAACATTTTTTTTCAACAGACCTTTTTTTTTTTTTTTTAGCAGTTTTAGGTTCACAGCAAAATTGAGCAGGAAGTACAGAGTTCCCATGTACCCACTGCCCCTACACATGCACAGCCCACCCCACTATCAACAATGTCCACCAAAGTGGTGCATTTGTTTTTGTTTTTTTTTTTAAGTATTTATTTATTTGGTTTCATGGGGTTTTAGTTGCTGCAGGTGGGCTCCTTAGTTGCAACACGTGGGCTCCTTAGTTGCAGCATGCATGTGGGATCTAGTTCCCTGACCAGGGATCGAACCCGTGCCCCCTGCATTGGGAGCGTGGAGTCTTATCCACTGTGCCACCGGGGAAGTCCCAAAGTGGTGCATTTGTTGTGTCAATGTGGATGAACCCACATTGACACAACATACTTACTCCAAGTCCATAGGTTACACTAGGGTTCACTCTCAATGTTGTACATTCTGTGAGTTTTAACAAACACATGATAGCATGTACCCAACATTATACCATCATAAGAATGGTTTCCTGCCCTAAAAATCCTCTGTGTTCCACCTATGGAACTCCATCCCCGTAACTTGTGCCAATCCCTGACCTTTAGTGAAAATGTCTATAGTTTTATATTTTCCAAAATGTCTTATACTTGGAATCATACTATGATTCCAAAGGCTGGGTAAACAGCCTTTTCAGATTGACTTTCTCCACTAAGCAGTAAGCATTTAACATTCCTCCATGGCTTTTTTGGCTTGACAGCTCACTTCTTTTTAGCGCTGAGTAATATTCCATTGTCTGGATGCACCACAGTTTATTTATCCATTCACCCACAGAAGGGCATCTTGGTTGCTTCCAAGTTTTTGGCAGTTATGAATAAAGCTCCTGTAAACATCCATGTTCAGGTTTTTGTATGGACATATTTACAACTCATTTGGATAAATACCATGGATCAAAGTGAACTTTTGCATTTCCACTGGTAATGATGAGAGTTCCTGGTGTCTACATCTTCATCGGCATTTGGTGCTGTCAGTGTTTTGCAGTCTCACCACTTAATAGGTGTGTAGTGGTCTCTCCTTGCTATTTTACATTGTTAACATTTTGATGTATCAATATTTTCCCACAGAATGTTTTCAAATACTTATATCACCGATAAAAAATATATCTTATTAGAAGTGAAGAAGAGATCCAGTAAAAAACTGGTGATATCTAGAAGAATAAAATCATCATTGAGGACTTCCCTAGTGGCACAGTGGTTAAGAATCCGCCTGCCAATGCAGGCGGCACGGGTTCGAGCCCTGGTCCGGGAAGATCCCACATGCTGCGGAGCAACTAAGCCCGTGCACCACAGCTACTGAGCCTGCGCCCTAGAGCCCGCGAGCCACAACTACTAAGCCAGCGCGCCACAACTATTGAGCCTGCTCTCTAGAGCCCATGAGCCAAAACTACTGAACCCATGTGCCACAACTACTGAAGCCTGCATGCCTAGAGCCCATGCTCCGCAACAAGAGAAGCCACCGCAATGAGAAGCCCCTGCACCACAACTACAGAAAGCCCGCAAGCAGCAATGAAGACCCAAGGCAGCCAAAAATAAAAATAAATGAAGAAAAAAAACCTGTTTAAAAAAAATCGTCATTGAGAATAGAATCGTCATCTCTGTTTTGTTGTTGTCAGATAAGTAAAAAGATTTTAAGATGAGATGCATACAGTGGAGACTAATATGTAGCTACAGAAGACTTGCGCTTTGGCTTTCCTCTACCCCTAAAACAGAAATCATGTCCAAGGATCTATCCATGGAAAAGTGGGACCCGGAATGACTGCATACTCATGACAGGTAGCAAAATTTTTTAAAAAAGAAGACGTGCTTATTTTTTATGTGTGATGTGATATAAAACGGTTTGTGGGAAATACTTTTGAGACACCATATCTATGTCGATAAGAAACTAATTTTGAATTCAATTGTTATTTTTTAAATGTAATAAATAAGAATTGTAATCAGGGTTAGAGTCATCAAGCATGATAAGACAGAAAAGTTTTATCAGCTAATGCTTAGTGGTACTGTATAGCACAGGAACTATATTCAATATCTTGTGATAAACCATAATGGAAAAGAATATGAAAAAGAATATATATATGTGTAACTGAGTCACTTTGCTGTACAGCAGAAATTAACACAACATTGTAAATCAACTGTAATTCAATAAAATGAAAAAAAAAAAACAACCCTAACGCTTAGTGGTAGTAACAAAAATTAGTCATGTTATTAGCATTGTGTGGAACTTTTAAGATTTTTAAAAATTAATTAATTTATTATTTGGTTGCACCGGGTCTTAGTTGCGGCACGCGGGCTCCTTAGTTGTGGCATGAGAACTCTTAGTTGCAGCATGTGTGTGGGATCTAGTTCCCTGACCAGGGATTGAATCTGGTCCCCCTGCACTGGGAGTGTGGACTCTTATTATCCACTGAGCCACGAGGGAAGTCCCTCAGATCTTTGATGTTCGTTCATTCCACAAATGTTAACTGAGTTATGCCAGGTACTATGATAAGAGTTCAAGGGATAGAACAGTGAATAAGACAGATATAATCCCTAGCCTCATAGAGAGTATAGTCTACACTCGATTAGAAACATCTGACAAACACTAAAATGAATGAAAATGAATATGAATAAAATAATTACCGTTGAGTGCTAGGAAGGAATTAAACAGAGCTTCTTAATAGGGAATATCAGTGGAGACCCGTGCTACTGATCGTGGGAGACCTTTCTGAGCAAGTAACATTTAAATTGAGATCTGCCCTAGGAGCAGCCATTAGAATAACAAGGGGAATATTGTTCTAGACTGCCGGCAAAGCAAGAATTAAACCCATCCTAAGAAGTGGAGATGAACAGGGTGGAGCGTAGCGGACCAAGGGAAGCAGTGACACCTCCTGAGCAGGCAGTGCCCAGCAAGAGCAGTTCAAGGAGGGTTTTGTAGGCCGTGCTGAAGAGTCTGAATTTTCTTTTCGTGCCTGGAGAAGCCATAAAGAGGATTTTTAAGTGAAAAAGTGATACAGTATGATGTGAATGTTAAGCGGATAACCCTGGCCACTTTGTGGAGGATGGCTCGAGGGCAGCAAGAGCAGAATTTGGGAAGCTGATATGTGGTCTGGGCAAGAATTGATGCTGCTGGCCTCAGCAGGGAGGTAGAGCAGTCAGTAGGTTGCACTGAGATAGAAGGGTGCGGGGTACAAATGCACACTGAAAGTCACTTCTGAGACTTAGGAGGGACTTGCCTGGCGGTCCAGTGGTTAGGACTCCAGGCTGCCACTGTTGATCCTACAAGCCGCGCTGTGTGGCCAACAAAATTAAAAAACAAAACAAAACAAAAAAAACTTAGAAGCTAGTTTAAAGTTTAGACGCAAAGACTTTCTGATATTGAAGTGTTAGCAAATCTGATCAATTTTGTTCAAGAGGGCTTCCCTGGTGGCGCAGTGGTTGAGAGTCCGCCTGCCGATGCAGGGGACACGGGTTCGTGCCGCGGTCCGGGAGGATCCCACATGGCCGCGGAGCGGCTGGGCCCGTGAGCCATGGCCGCTGAGCCTGCGCGTCCGGAGCCTGTGCTCCGCGATGGGAGAGGCCACAACAGTGAGAGGCCCGCGTACCGCAAAAAAAAAAATTTTGCTCAAGAAAAGATGAGAAGATTCACACACACAAAAATCTATCTATCAAGAAGAGCAGCTGATAGGAGAACAAGAAAGTAATCCTAATTTGAATTGACTGGATTTTGGAAAGAAATATAGTCCAAACTTTTGTAAGTAAAACGTTATTGAGCGATCTACTTATGAGTGCTTTTTACTATCTTTTTCCACAGACTTGGAAAAACAGCTGTTAGGAATACATTAATGCTTCTGAATACAAATAAATGACTGTTATTTGTAACTAATTTCAAAGCTGTCCAAGTTCTGTTTTTCCAATTTAATTATTTTCATATAATACCATAATAGTTCTTTATAATATTAGAAATAACCTTGAAGCGTTCTTTCTTTCATTTTGTTTTTGTTTTATGTGTTTTTCAGTTAACCGAGCTGCCCAGGTATCTATCTAACTATCTA